GCGATTCCTCGCCAATTCTGCGTGATCCGAGTGGCAATATTTTAATGCAAATTAGTGATGAGTATTAATTATAATTTACTTATGACATACTTCTTGCACTGATTAAATTAGTTATCTGGCAGGTAAGGCACCATAGCCACAAATTGTAGAACTGATACTCTTGTGAATGTAAGAGTTTATCGCAGTTCAAAGTAGAATATATTTTACTGATGGGCAAAGCACAACACCGTTGTCGTAGCTTTTCAATTCCACCGGTAATCATTTTATTTTAATTCATAATGCTGAACTTACTTAGCGTAAGGTCACCGCCCCATTGCTACTAGTATCTTAAGGAGACAAGTTTGGAAGTGCGTGGCCCCAAGCTATTTGAGCACCTGCAACGATCAGACGCAGGACTGCATCTATGAGTTGGCCTGAAGCATAGCGTGATGTTTTGACTATGTATTTGCCGACGGACAGTGGAAAATTCAGTTAGTGTTTCGACAGCGAATACAGCGAACATCAAAGACCAGAGGCATTACGGTGTATTCAACAGTTCTTAATATCAAAATCTGAAATGCGAACGAACATCACAAATCTTAAGCAGTTTCAGTAAACAGCTAAAGATGAAGATATCAAAACAACGAATCTACATGAAATATTTTATCTATTTACTGCATTACCTACCGGTGTTTACCTCAGCTGTGAACAATCTACTATACTAAACAACGAGCGCAAAATCGAAACTTCAAAATCATAATTTTCTTTTACGATTGATCATTTTTCCTTTTTTCGTTGAAAAATATCTTGAAAACCGAATACAAGAGTTGTTCAAAACAGGCACTTACAATGGCAACAAGCGATAAAATGAAAAGAGACACGACTGAAAGTGGTTTTCAATTATCAGCGCACGAAATACATTTTTGTGTATAAAGTTTAACGTGATTTTTTACCTGTCTTATCTTTATCTGTCTCCATAGGCGATATGCAGTTAAGAAGTATGTATTTATCTGCGAATAGTTGGATGGCGATCGTGCTAATGATTCATAGGTTCAAGTGTTGACAACCTGATTATACCTGGAACGGAACCACTAATATGGTGAGATCATTTGACCTAAATATAGTATGCAGCAAAGTTCTTTACTGACAAACAAAATTTTATAATTGGAAATAGAGCAGACATGGCGGCACCTACCTTATACAGATTTGTAATTAAAGTATTCTCTTATTCAATATTTATCTACAGGCAAGAAATTCAGTCAGTCATTACTCACCATCACTAACCAGTCTTTTGGTTCGTGATTAATCGTCCGGGTCGCAGTTTATAAACGAAATACTTCAGGCTGCCATATCAGTAGAAACGGTAAAGCAAATCTGTAAGAGAGGGCTAGCTGAGAGATTTCCTACTAATTACGGAGATCGCTATGGAAGTCTCCTTTCAGTTCTGCTATTCTATATTGTTCCTTACCACCTCCATCAAAATGGTATAGACTTCCCAAAAAGAAAAGTTTCGTTGCAAAAGGAACGCGTAAGATGAAATATCCGGCTAGGTATCTTGTTAACCTGGAATACGCCGAAGTCATTGAACTGGTCTAGTGGGCAATATTGGAAGCTGCGTTCGTCATCCGATGGTTTCTTCATGCAGCAAAACTGCGGAAACCGGACTCTTCCTCAATGCCCAGAAGCCACAGTTATGAAAATTTCATCAGGCAGGACAAATATGAATTAACATGTGGGAACTGAAAGAGGAAAGCCAGAGCAAATCACTTAGCAGTTATAATTCCTCCGATGATTCATTTGCATGAATTGCTTAGGTTTCCAGCGTTGTCAGTAGCTTGTCCGGTATCTGGGCGGGAAATATCCCTAAGGTGCTATCCCTAAAACGACGTGTGCATTGACCAGGTCAGTCATTATTTCTGAGATGGCATAGAGACTGTTGTCCAACGACGCTCAGCACTGTTATCTTAAATTCACATGTTAAGTAGCAGGATCATGTACGGAATGTATATTCCCTTCCAAAAACCCTCATCTTGTGCATTTTGATAAAAGCTGCAGAAACTTTAGAAAAGGATGTTTTCATTATTGGGCGAACTATAAACCATTCACTGTGGATCAGGAAATTCTCACGTGGGAACCCCCGAATATGGCGTATGCCGATCTGGAAGCTGCAGCATATGGATGAATAAGACAGAGACATCTTTGCATATGAAGTGAAATTATTTCTCTGTAAGAGGTAACTAGTTACAAAAATGTCGGGACTGCTCAGTTGACAGAATGTCAGACTCAGAACTGAGAGGCTCCGGATACGAGTTCCAGTCGACTCATTTCCTTTCCTTTCTTAATCCAAGGTTGATAAATGACTGCATAGTCACAATCGACTGCATTTAAAAAAGAAGCGCTCTTAGCTGATCGCATTGAAATCAAGATCAGCACTACTAATTTCATTAAAAAGGGCGCTACACGTGGCCTCTCATTATCAACCTCTAAGCAAGACCGACCTTCTAACAGTTGCAAACTTATTTTTTTCACTGTTGAGTAGCAAAGTTTTCGAAACCCGACAAAATCTGCCTCTTATTGGGATGGCTATATTAACAGATTAGCGCAGCAGGTGCTTCTCGCGCTTACTTTTTATGATATAAAGAAGGTATGGGATTTTACATGATACTCAATTCATGGCAACGATCTACACGTTGCTCTTCCTTTTGTACTCTTTGAGTTTAAAAATATAGAAATACTTTGCCATGGCGTTCCTGACATCGAATGAGTATCAGCTTCTGAAATCCTTCACATTTGG